GGGTAGCCAATCCACCGGGGCTGCGGAACCAACGTTGGCAGAGACGACACTGGCAAGCGCCAGCCTGATTACACACCGGTTTCTGCCGTTCTGCCAAGCATTTGTGACGCTTCTCATCTGATGGGCGAGAGAAGTACTGATCACATACTTGGCACACACACACACACACACACACACACACACACACACACACACACACACACACACACACACACACACACACACACACACACACACACACACATGTACTAGTACCAGGCATACGCCCGTCACAAAAGAATGCACCGGATGTACAGATGTATACCCACAGATTTTTCTCTTACAGCAACGGTAGCGGACAAGATCTGAATGAAACAGATCAAACACACACACACACACACACACACACACACACACACACACCTTAGACCTTAGACATGCCCATCGCGGGAGCGATGATAGCGAACAGCTATGTTAGACATAGCAACTTGTGCTGGGATTACACCATTCAACAGCTTGCAAGGCTGATGAATTGACCGCCACTATTTTTAGCCTGGTATCCACCACACAGCTGTTGAAGTGACTTTTTCTGGCCAGTGAATCCCTATTTTTCATTTTTCTTCTTTTTTTTTCTTTTTCTACACACACACCACACCACATACTCCGGCATACACTGGCTGTTGGTAACACACACACACACACACACACACACACACACCTGGCCTGGTGTACAGCTGCCAAATGCTTGGCCACGCCGCCCCCGAGACAGGGGAGAGTAGAAGAGAGAGAGTTCGAGAGAAGTCAGCACTGCCACTAGGAAGCCGCTCCGCCACGACGCCGTCCACGATTGCAATTGTGTCGCCGAAAGCCAGGAGCAGATTTAAAACAGCGATCACAGGTAGTGCAGTGCTGGTTGCAACACGGATGGCTGGTGATTGGTATGTGCTGGGGTGTGGGCGGTGATGCCGGGCGGGTGTTGTGCACTTGTGCACAGCAAGTCCACCGGCACTTCGGAACCACCGAAGGCAGGCATGGCATCGACGTGCGCCCGGCTGTTCCGCTACAGGCAGCTGGCGATCAGCAGAACATTTGTGTCGTCCGAGTCCAGATTTACTCTTGAATGTCCGTTTACACACCAGACAAGAGAGCGGTACCGGGGCAGGACGCTGCACACGAGTGCGGTACGCATCTCTCCATTGCTGAGGATCCTGGACCAGAGTAAACCATTCATCAATTTGGCACAGTTTCATGTCTGACTGTATTCTGTCCTTCCACCGAAGACGAGGTCCCTGAGCTGGTCGGGGAGTGTCAAGCCATCCAAACAGCAACTGCTTAGGGAGACGGTTGTCAAGCATCCGAGCTACATGGCCCAACCACTGGAGGCGGCGACGACGCATAGTGTCCAACACCAGATCCTCATCCCCCCAACGCTTACGGAGGTCACAATTCCGGACATGATTCAACTCCTGATCCCAGCGCGAGACTCCCGGGATACACCGTAGACATTGATGATGAAAGTTGTCAACACGGATCTCATCACGACGAAGAACCGGCCAACGCTCAGCACCATACAGCAAAACAGTCAGAACGCAAGTTTCGTACAGCATTTTCTTTGTGCGGATGGACAGGCCGGGAGTGTTAAACACACAGCGGAGTGCTCCAAATGCACGAGATGCACTGGCAAGACGACGATCAACCTCAAGGCAAACACGACACACACACACACACGCATACACTGCCAATCCATCCATTTCAGCATCCACGGTGCGTTCACGCCGCATCTAGCCCACTGCCAGGCGTACAGTTAAAAATCACCACGAGTCGCGAAGTCTGATGACAGGAATATCTCGGAATCAAATACAACAGAATTGAGTAAAAAATAAATAAGGTAAAATACTGAACAGACGGCGAAATTCCAGCGGCGGGAAGGGAGTGGTATGTCTGAGCATTTCGCGCGCAGCGGGAAACAAGAAGGCCACATAAACTATTAGTGCTGGCTTACTGGAAGCCAGCGGGGTGGTGTACTCGTAGCACTTTTACTTCATGGGTATGAAGCTGTGTGCATGCACCAGGGTAGGAGGCCTTACAGAAGACTAACTAGTGGGGGGCAGTGCGGAGCGTGACAGGAGCTCGGCCGTCCGCCAGTGGCCAGTTCTGAGCGACTCGCAGCCTGCACGCACTCGAAGCTAGGCATCTCGAGATACTAGTCTTCCTGGAGGTTACATGATAACTTACATCCAATCACAGAACAGGGAGTGAACGGACGGAGTCATTATATGATAACTTACATCCAATCACAGAACAGGGAGTGAACGGACGAAGTCATTATTCGGGGTTGGGGGGCTTGGCAGCAACATTTCGATTGCAGAACATGCGCTCTGAACTCAATCCTTGTAGTCTTGAACTGCTTTCTTGACGCTGTCGAGGTACGACGAGACACCACTGGACGCAAAGTAGTTGATGAGCCACGTGGGTATGCTGCCTTTCGGGTTGTCGAAGCAGTGCAGGAAGAGGCGAGAGCCGGTACCGGCATCGTCCCCGGTTATCGCCATCGTCTGCTGGTACTCGTCGCAGCGCAGCGCCTTCGTCTCCGGGCAGAGCACGGGGTCTGCGGGCGCCGTCTCGCCAATGGTGACCCAGGCCGGCTGCTGGCGGCCGGCCTCCGTCGTGAACGTCATCTCTCGCGTACGCCGGTAGAAGAAGTAGTCGCGGTTCGTCATCGGGAACGGGTACGCCACCTGTATGAGATGAAAGGCACACACACACACACACACACACAAACACACACACACACACACACACACACACACACACACAGATACACAGACAAAATATTATTATCGACATGTCCGCGGTGATATTGCTAATGTACATGTACAATAAGGACACAACACTTTCAAAGGAAATAATGAATAAGAATAAATGGTTCAGGCAGGTTAACCCTTTGAGGCCCATAGTACGGATATATCCGTACCAGTGTACAGTGCATACTTTCCAAAGCGCAACCTGGCGTAACTCGGCTGTCCCTTGACCAAATCGGACAATCGAAAGGGCTATCGACATTAGAATTGTCTTAGCTATCGGCTCGAAAAAAAAAAACCCGAAAGCGATCCGAGTTCGGAGAGCGGAGATACGAGACTCGAACTAAATTCGCTCAGCAGAGTCAACTCGAGCGCGTGCATTTTGAACTCGTTTTTAGGGGTTTTCCTTGACTCGCGGCCCACGCAGCTACAGATAGTTCACGTCATCGCAAAGGCATGTTTCTCAGCTCTCCAGGAAAAAATTTGAGCGATCTGCGATGCAATTTGTTGAAATGGCAGAGAATTTGAGTTGGACGCTCGCAATGCTGGCTTTGGAGCGCCGTATCACGCTGCGGCGCTGGTTCTGTGGATCGAGTGATGTATTGCTGGCTATCGCTGTGTTCCTCTGGCCAAGAGCTTTCCAGAAAGCCCAAGATCACCAAAATCGGCCAAAGGACACCAAAGTTACGACCAGATAAGTACCTGGGCTCGCGTATGCAGTGCATTTCTTGAAATAATTGTGGGCCCTAAAGGGTTAAAAGTGAAATATCCAATAGCACAAGTGCCTGGCTGTCAGTCGCCACCTCCATTGGCAAAATTGTGACTATGAAATCTCCGTATGTCTCACTCTAAAGAAAAGAGATGTCCACTTTCGGGACAAACGTGTCCAGATCCAAGTGGTCTGAATCTAGTTCCGGTGCGCATTGCACTCAGGACACCTCTCCTATTCACGACAGTTACCGTAAAGTCTTGTGTATAAAAGCAGGTGCTTATGGCCGATTTTTTCGAAGCGCACCGTGACACAGAGGCATGATTTGAATAGAAGCCGCTCTCTGCAAAGTACATGTGCAAGTACATGCGTATAGACTCGTGATATTGACGTAGAAGCATGTTTTGAATAGAAGCATTCTTTGAATAGAAACATGGGTTGAACCCCGGCTTATACGGCTGTAAGCACCTGCTTTTATCCGTGACATTACAGTATGCTGTAGCTCAAAAGCACACCATAGAAGCTCAACATTCACAGCATAACCAACCTGCCAGTAGATGACTTGCAGGCCGGATGAGTACTCCTTTAGCTTGTGAAGTTGGTTGACGTACTTATCCCACTTCTTTCGGTAGTCGAGGTCCACATTGACGCGTGCACACGTCCTGGAAATACACGCACACACAACACGCACACACGGAAGCACAAACACGCGCACATACACACACCCACAAACACACGCATGTAAGTGACGGAAGCAATTGGTGTTCAATGAGCTCCCAGTACCAAGCCCCTTTCCTTTCATCAAACTGGAGGCGAGAAAGCAGCCGGGCCACACTACACTGCGACTCCAGGTGCAAGACCAATGGGCTGTGCGCGATATGCATTTTGAGTCGCACCTTCATGTCCATCAGTGGAAGTGTAGCGCTGGCACGCTAGTAGTAACTTACACAGCTGCAGCGTGAATCCCTTTCAATGTATTGGTCACGCGTGTTACACCGCACCCGTACCCCGCACTTGCAACTCTGTACCGTGCTTGCAGATCCATGACATGCATAGTAACTAGTCTCACTGCGTTCAATGTTTCATATTGACCTTAGAAATACTGCTGCACTTTCAACCGCCTCTTTTACGCCCATTGCCCACACTGCTATTCAGCTCCTTCTTCTGCATAGAATCAAATGGCATTCCTTGTGCAATGACTGTAGCCCACACATCTTACTTTGACCTTTCTTCTTCTCTCTGCTGAGCTTTGCCGTGACCATTGCTGTTGCAGCATTTATGCTGTCTGCCTACAAAAGCTGCTGTTCACAATTCTCTACACGACAGTTAGAAAGTTCAGTTAGAAACGCCAGTTAGAAATGCCAGTTAGAAATGTCAGTTTAGAGTTAGAGTTCAACCTTCAATCCAGTCTTTAGTAATAATAAAGTTAACAACAGTGTGTTCACTGAGACCCGTCTGCATTTGCCTCCGAGAGAGACTGCGGCCCGCTACAGAAGGACTCGACACAAGTGCAAACTGACTGACATCCAAACTACAGCGGCACCACCCCGGGAGTGCTCCGCCTGTCACTGGACATTCCGCTCGACTTGCGGCCGGACACGCCACCGATGCAGCAGGGTGACTAGTACAATATGACCTGTCCCTTAGGGGACTGCGTAGCTAGACTTAGCAGCAGGATCAAGATCAAGATGTATGTATCACCCATAACCACACTGGTCGTAGGGGTATTGAATTGTCAGTGGCAATAGAAGAATCTACGTACACTCAAAAAACAAGCTGTCTATATTTGACGGGCTCAGCAGCAGCACCGAGCGAGAGAGAGAGAGAGAGAGAGAGAGAGAGAGAGAGAGAGAGAGAGAGAGAGAGAGAGAGATAGTGATGTAGCGAATCGAATTCTCTTCAACTCCCCTTTGGAGAGAACCTAGCTGAACATTGTAATATTCGTTTCACCCCTATAGTGAAAGACACGTCAAGCTGACTGCATTCTAATTTTAGTTGCTAACATAACAGACCAGACACGTGCATAGATATGGACTCATGATTGTATGTATGTGTGAACAAGTTAGTTTCTGGATATGTTGTGGTGTTTGGTTTCCGCCCAGCATCGCCGATCTGTGTGTTTGCACTAGCTTGCAGCTGGAATCGCGCAGCCGAACCACGTGCATGACACTAGGGCCCATTCGGTTACACAGTGCAGCGGTATCACACACAAACTAAGGTAGGTTCAAAGGCAGGTAGGTGGTACCTGTACATGACGCTACACGCACAAATCTATCCGGTCTCCGACGAAGCCGCACATCGAAAGCTGGAAGCAGCAGCTCAATGGCACACTGCCCCCCTGTCCGGCGTCGTGGCTACGTAGCATGGACAGCGCGCCGCGTCATACCTCATACCGTTATGCAGATAATCGTTGTTTCGTATGCAGCTACAATGAAGACAGTGTTTTTCCCTATAACAAGGTAGCGACAAGTGCATGTACACGGAGCACACAGGAACTGGCAAAGGGACCTAGCGCCTACAGTACATTCACAGGGTCATACCAAGACAAACAAGACTACATAACCAAGATAGGCAAGAATTATGTGCAGCCCCTACAAACTGGACCTGCGATCGGGTCACCCACGACGGATTTTTTTTATTGCGTCATTGTTTTTAGCAGGAGTAGTCTACGATCGAGTGTAATGAAAATGGGTACATGTATTTAGAAAAGCGACCCAGTGCAGTCACAGTTACATTTCTATTTCGCTTTCCAATTTCCGCATTTGTCTTGAGAATACGGTTGCAGGTCATCGGGTTCAGGACGCAAGCAGCTACCGTCCTATCCGGTCTTCTGCTTCGACTGCCATAGCTGTAGCTAGCTGCGATGTAAAGTTCTTTGTACTTTGATCTCTCGCTACGCATGGTGCCACATCGGCGAGTCAAATAATTAATTCAAACAGCCGCGAAAGACTGGTCCCTGAAAAAAATTCAGCCGCGCGATGAGGGATCGTCCTGTTGCAAACTTTTGCCATAATTGGTTATGTATTGCTAATCCTACCTAGCATCCACACCGCTCTGAACTCCGATGACCTTGTATTCGTACAGTCCGGAGTCTCCCTTCATCCGTCTGTATACCTGCACTCCACGGGTGTCAGCAAAGAGATCGAAGCCCGTCAGATCAGGGCTCTTCATTTGCTTCAGCACATTCTCAAAGGCAGCATCACTGAAGGCCTCGAGCTGCGGGCCATCATCACTGTTCGTCGCCATTCCTTTCTCATTCGCTGAGGACGTCGTCGGTCCTGTGCTTCCGCCAAACCAGCCCTGCAGCCCGAGTGCTGCCGTGATACTTGACAATACCATTTTTCTTCCAATTATTCAGTCCGCCACACTCAAATCGGTACTAACCGCCACTTGCACGGACTGTATACGTATGTATGAGTCGAGTACAGTATTCAAACTCGGCTCATGACACAACAGTCAAAATGTGTGTCCTGTCAAAAGCATGCTTCCCCACCAAAAAGGCAAAATAAACTTTTTTTTAGTTTGACCATACAACAAGTGCATGATCCAACAGCTTGAGTCAGAAGAAGAGTACATAAGTTACGACCCCACTGAATAGGGTGGTTCACAAACCAGGGAGTCGTAAAATACCGGTATTTTACGACTCCCTGTCACAAACTAATTAAATACTTTGCACTCTCCCTCAGCTCACATCATGTGAGACCAGTGACGTCATGACATTGTCGAATGCAGCCATGCGAAGAAAATCGTAGCTTTGTCAGTTTGTGTTTTGTTTTTTTTGTTTGTTTGTTTTTCTTGACTTCACGAAAGTAACTCAAGAGAAAGAAGGAACAATGTCGTTTGTCAATGTGCCCCAGGGAAGCGACTTCCCCATCGAAAATCTCCCATTCGGAGTGTTTTCCACCATTGGCAATGTAGGTTGCGGGAAATCTCCTGGAATGACTCCTGCTGTTATCACCAGAAAAAATGATTGATTTTGATGCTCTTGATGGGAGTGTGATTTGGATGTGTGGGTGTTTTGATGTGCGTGGGGCACGCAGGAGCGCCATCGCATTGGAGTGGCCATTGGAGAGGAGATTTTGGACCTGAGCGCCGTGAAGTCACTGTTCACTGGACCGGTGCTTGCCAACCAGCAAGACGTGTTCGATGAGGTAATCAAGCGTTGGCTGAGGAATTCCCCAACAAATTGGGCTTCTGGGAATCATTAATTTTTATCTTGCATTTGTACACCGTGCACTGTGCACGTGTACAAAATACTTACCGTAGTGTCTCGTATTAACGCCTATCTCGTATACTGTTATAGTAGCCTGTCTTGAATAGAAGCCTGATTTTCAAGATACAATGTCGCCACATACGCCTGGTTTTATTCACGACTTTACGGTAGCTTTTAGATGCACACTGTTAATAGTAGGAACAGATCGGAGTACGACTACATGTGCAGTACTAGAAAGTATCATCTGTTTTGCGTTGTAACCTTGTAATAGAGCTTTTTTCAAGGCCGCGGCGCTCACCCCGAGATTGTCGTGAACAGATCGCGCTTTGAAAAGTATACGAAATGTCACGCAGGACCGGCAGAAGCAGTTTTTGATTGCTCTATTACAAGGTTACAACGCAAAACAGATGATACTTTCTAGTACTGCACATGTAGTCGTACTCCGATCTGTTCCTACTATTAAACAGTGTGCATCTAAAAGCTACCGTAAAGTCGTGACAAAAAAGCCGCGGCTTAAATTTTGCAGGCTTCTACATGAGACAGGCTTCTATACAAGACAGGTATTTCTATGTATGTCAACACTAAAACCAGGCGTATGTGGCGACATTGTATGTTTTTTTCATACAGTTTGTGTATGATATGGAGGGTATACACATGACTTTCATACAGTTTGTGTATGATATGGAGGGTATACACATGACTTTCATACAGTTTGTGTATGATATGGAGGGTAGACACATTACCTCCTCAGCAGTAAACACACGTTGGTGGCCAAAAAGTTGATCCTGCCATTGCCTGACCAACCGGACCGGTTCCGCCGGGCCTGATGTGACTAGTTCGTCTTCACCAGCGCTTGGAGCGATGCGGAAGCTTGTTCTTTTTCGCCCAAGCCATGGAAGGTCTTCACGGCTGCGGCTCTGAGTCAGCGTGAGTGTCGGACATAAAGTTGAGCGCCATTCTAGTGCTTCTTTCACCTCCATGCGTCCATTCCCATACAAACTGAATGTGACCTGGGCCTCGCCTGTTCAGCAGCGATTCAAAAATTTCTCGCACGTGATCCCGAAAAGTCTTGAAAAGCTCTATAGGGTAAAAAAATCACGGTTCGCGTCCGTGGGAACGCCACCACCCTTGAAGGATCAAGGCGCTCTATAGGTAAAGCTGATGAATTTACGAATGTTTAGTCGGAATACTTGAAGTACGTGTGAGGAAAATCGGAAAAACCCCACGAAAGTAGTTGCTAGCCTTGCAAGACGTGTACAGGCCTGTCTACATGGAATTTTTTCAGCTGATAAATCGCTTCTTTTACATGGAATTTTGGTGCTTTTGAGCTGATAAATCGCTTCTTTTACATGGAATTTTGGTGCTTTTGAGCTGATAAATCGCTTCTTTTACATGGAATTTTGGTGCTTTTGAGCTGATAAATCGCTTCTTTTACATGGAATTTTGGTGCTTTTGAGTTGACGAGCTACGGTATTTGATATGTTGGACGCCTGTGCGGTGCAGATTGTGTACTAGTATCAGACCATCTGGTAAAAGGAGAGTGATCGCTCTCGCGCGCCTTCGCTCTCCTTATTTTCTTTTAGGGCGCACTTTTCGTCGCGCGCCTTGAGAATTTCGAGCGCATCCGCATAACTATGAAGTTCTGAAAACACTCAAATATTTCGAAACTCGGCTTTCCCCGAACGGAATCGAGTAATCGAAAAGTCTATTCGCATTAGAAAGTTCTCAGCTGTCGGCTCCAACAAATCGGAAGTCGATCCAAGGTCCAATAATGGAGTTACGGCACTCGCAAGGTATTTTAAGTACCGTTGCAAATTTTCACTTCCGCACTTGGGCGGCAATCATAGTATTTTGACATAATGGATTCCCCTCTGTTGCGTGACAGTCTGGGCATGCATAGACCTGTGTGGCGCCAGGCACAGGTCTTTAGCGGTCAGCTACAGAAGAAAGGAGCGCTCTACGATGAATACTACAAAAATACCATGTATCTTAGCGAATTGTCTCCCATTGCGTGTGTCATTGTCCCTGATGAAGGGAAAGTAAAGTTGTGGTCCGAACAGCTTTCAAGTTTCATTTGTAATGCGTACGGCGATTTCCCAGAACGAATTTGGCAGCTATTGAATCCAATTGGGGTATGGCAAGATGTTGAAAAACCCGTATTGTGCTCGCCTTGGATAAATAAGGCGAGCGACTTTTTGGGGGGGGGGGGGGGGGAGGGGCGGTGGGGACTGCTCTCCCACCACTCTCCTTGAGAGGATAGCGAGAGTGATTGTTCACTCTCCTGGATTTTTCTTACACGAAGGTCTGTAGTATGCATGCTGCGCTGCAACAGTGCTTTCGACGTTGGGAGTGGGAGTGTGTACAGTCGAAACAGGCCTGCGACTACACAAGAAGTGCATGCGGTACTGGTGTGCTGGTTCACACATTCCCACCGTATGTTCTGTGAAGACAGGCTACACATGTCCCGTATTTCCCCGAATATAAGTCGCACCTTTGTACACTAAAAGTCAAGGGTAAAACAAGAGGATGCGACTTGCAATCGAGCGTGACTTACTACAGAAGTCAATTTATCAAATCAATATTGCTCAAACCTGAAAATGGCAGTGCGACTTATATAATACTGTAACACATGTAGAATATCTCATTCACAAAAAGTACAAAGGAGGTTTGCAGAATTCGTCGCTACTCCGAGTTTCTTGCACAATGCAACAATCATCGGGCGACTTATCTGTATTAAAACCTTGTGCCTTTTGGGTGTAATACAAGTAGTTGTCCAAGTTATTGTGTTTAAAAGCCCTCTCCGCTGGCAAAAGGAAAATTTCCTCCTTGAATGTCTCACTCTGCAGTCGCAAGGGGCAGATTGTCTATTGTATTAGAGAGGTTAAGATGCACGTTATTTCCGACGTGACGCACAATTTCACGTCAAATTTGGCGTAAAACTCCAAATTTCGACGTGAGCAGCAGGTCACTCGCGTTGATTTTTCGACGTGCGAGCCAAATAACGCGAGCTGAACCTTCGCGTCACGTCAGCCATAACGTGCATCTTAAAGGGGAAGTTAAGGCAAAAATTAAAATTTCACCAGTTGTAGTCTTCGGGGTGCTGAGTCGAATGGTCGTGGTCCGAGGAAGCTGAGACGCTCCCTTCCTACTTGAATCCCAATCGAACTCGCGCACTTCCACCGAAACTGGGTGACTGCGCCCTACTAGATGGGGATTTGTATGCAAAATCTCACTAAAAGCGCCATTTCGTTCTTATAAAAGCACGGATGACCGCGATTGGCCATATGTTGTAGTCTTTTGGACGCTGAGTCGACTGGTTTTGGTCCGAAAAGGCTGCGATGCAGCGTTCCTCCTTTATTCCCAATCGAACATGGTTGAACAAGCGGTCACGTGCTCCTGCGTACGCCAGTCACCTGGTCACCGTGCCTGCAGGGTACAACTTACTAGCCTGTTTGACCATTTTTGGGTGCAGTCCTGTCACTCGAGTTGAACCTTGGTGTGAAAGTTGTCACCTGCTGGCGTGGTGACCAGGTGATTTGGGCACCCAGGAGCACGTGACCACTTGTTCAACCATGTTCGATTGGGAATAAAGGAGGAACGCTGCATCGCAGCCTTTTCGGACCAAAACCAGTCGACTCAGCGTCCAAAAGACTACAACATATGGGCCAATCGCGGTCATCCGTGCTTTTATAAGAACGAAACGGCGCTTTTAGTGACATTTTGCATACAAATCCCCATCTAGTAGGGCGCAGTCACCCAGTTTCGGTGGAAGTGCGCGAGTTCGATTGGGATTCAAGTAGGAAGGGAGCGTCTCAGCTTTCTCGGACCAAGACCATTCGACTCAGCACCCCGAAGACTACAACTGGTGAAATTTTAATTTTGCCTTAACTTCCCCTTTAACCTCTCTATTATGCTATTATCCCCAGTTAATCTGCAGTACAGGGCAACCCATCACTTCATCCTGCCATGTGCTATTGAGACTTGCCCCATTACAGGCCAGATCAGCATTCAACGTTACAAACCGTAGACGTTCATACGTTTGTGTACGTGCACATGTGTGTGTGTGTGTGTGTGTGTGTGTGTGTGTGTGTGTGTGTGTGTGTGTGTGTGTGTGTGTGTGTGTGTGCGGTGTGTGTGTGTGTGTGCGTGCGTGCGTGCGTGCATGTGCCTGCATTTTCCCCACCGCACAGCTCACTCTGAATCGCTTCATGAGCCTGGGCAAGGCTGCCTGGCATGAGACCCGCGTCACTTTGCAGAAGATCCTCTCCAAGGATGAGGTGAGTGTCCATCGCATGCCGCTCTATGTGAACACCCTGCATAGCATACAGTCATCGCCAAAAAAGAAAACCCCGGCCAATGCCGATGCAGTGGTATGGTACGTGGACACGATGCTGCCACATGCTAGCATGCATGCTTTTAGTTTTCACCAGTGTTTGCTGTAGCTCTACTAGCACTGGACTGACTATGCAGCTAAGTACTAGCTCGTATTATGACACAGACAGGTACTGTAAGAGATGTTATTTTCGGTGTGACTTTTTAAATTTTCGGTGATTTCGGTAGGGAAAACAGGCACCTATAATATTGTAGATTAAAATTGCTCCTAAAAGGAAGAGTATGCACTGTGTGTGAAGTGAAAGCTGTTCACCTCATTCTATGTTTACACCTGAAACCTGTCAGGTCCCTGGCAGCGAAATTTTAATCCACCTAAAATGACATGTTTTACAGTATCCACGCCAGCGCAAGGCCAATCTCGAGGCAAGGCACCGTTGTTCTTGATCCGAGTGTCCCCGCAACTCCCCGAGTCCCCTCAGATCTTGTACAGTATGATGACGCAAAGATCCGACTACGCTCGACCAATACCCTATGCAGAGCTGGATCAGGCAGGCATTGCACACTCTGGGGGGTTATGTACTCTCAATGATACATGTAGGTATGTGTTGTGATAGTGCATGGTGATGTTAGACTACCATGTACAGCATTGGCCGGAGTTTTTTTTGGCGACGACTGTACCTGCTGCAAGGGACAATCACACCAGTACTTTGCAGCCAAGGTAGTCTTTAAATATGACAGGGATAACATCATTGTTATTCACACATATCGGCCGGATGAGTACTCGTGACCTATGCGATGTAGGGATTCACGTATACAGGCCATCATAATGTGATGATAAGGTACATACCGGTATTATCGCCTTCTTAGTATTTGACCCCACTAATTTCCCTGATACCTAAGCGGTCAAATATATCGCGTATTTGACTGCTTAGTCAAATACACAATATATTTGACTACTTATATTTGACTCCTTAGAATTTCTTGGACTTTGAAATTTTCTCTCCAACTTAGAAAAAGAATTTTTTGAAGAAAGCAGAAATACACAAGATGGGATCTGAACCCACAACCATGTGAATCTCACTCTTCCTTACCACCCAGCCACTGTGCTACCGATGCTGAACCTAGTTTAACCCTTTGGAGTCCATGGTTCGATTTCGAACCATGGGCATTTTGTATGCATGTGGGCGCAGTCAAACTTTCGGTTCTCGGCCAAATCTTGACCAAATTCAACAATCGAAGGGTCTAGATGATAGAGAAAACTCTCAGCTATCGCCTCAACAAAGGCCCGAAGTCTCTCCGATGAAGGTTGAGTGAGCGGCGAGCGATCAAACATTTCGAATTTTCTGCGCTGCGTGCTGCGAGTCAGCAGTGCGTGAAAAAAAGGGATTTTCCCAGCTTCATGACAGGCGGCACGTGCCAGAACCGGCGCGGCACGAAGTCACGGCAAGGTAAGCTTCTACTCGAAAAAATTTGAACAGTTCCGGGCTAGATTCAGTGAAATGGCTACAGGAGACCGATTTCGTCTCAGATCTGGAGCTGGACTGCGTTTGGGGCGCGTTGTGGCGGACAATGAATAGTGTTCTTGGCGAGTTTGGGCTCATTGTATTTCTCTCATCAAGAGCTTTCCAAGGAGCCCAAGATCTTCAAAATCGGTGAAGTAGAACCAAAGTTATGTTGGAAATGGAGTGCGCATTTTCGTGACTGCCACAAATTCTGCGGAAGCAAAAAGTTACGGACTCCAAAGGGTTAAACAATGACCTTGATCCTGCAATGCCGTACAATGCGGTATAGGCTATAGTATAATACTAAAATTACAAGGATATGTCGTATATGAAGAGAAACTATTGCGTGGAGAACACGATAAATAGATTATAGACCTCATAGTTGGTCTATACAGGATATATAGACCTCGTAAAAGACCTCGGGGGACCTCGGTCTTTTACTCGGTCTATATATCCTGTATAGACCTCCTAACCGGTCTATAATCTATACTATTATGTACCTTCAGTATTACTGGCAGCAAAGTGTGTGTGTGTGTGTGTCCGCGCGCACGACTCTGTGTGTGTGTGTGTGTGTGTGTTTGTTTGTTGTCAATGTACAGGGTGTTTTGCGCGATAACGCAGATCTGCGCTCACGGTAAGCCCACGGAGTGTTTGTGTTGTTCACGCTCAGTATACATTTTCAAGTGACGAATAGTGTCCGGGCTCAGCTGCTCTAGTCAACAAAAATGTTATGTGTACTGATTG